CACTCATTCAATAAACCACGGAGAGCGGTCCAGCCAGCCAGCCAACACTGATATGAGTGGCCTTGGGTCTGTTCTTGCCTTTGAGCTGATGTTCCTGCTTCAGGCCGGAAGGTACATTGTGGGAACTGGCTCCTGGCGGCTAGCCAGGCTATCCCAGGAGGACTCCAGGGCAGATATCCAGGCTGCAGACCTTGTTAACGGAGCTCTTATTCTCCAGCACTGTTCCCCGTGCACCGCTCAGCACCACTTCTGTGGTTAAGTAGAAGACTTTTAATTTTCACCATTGAAATTGGCCATAAACATTGGGCCGTCTCTCTGTCTCTGGGGTTATTAGAGGATGCTCACAGCTTGCGTGGCCAGATTAATGCCGAGCCTGGAGCTTCGGAGAGCATTCATTACCCCTTGATGGTCTTTCAGAGTTGATGGGCGCGCAGAGCCGCTTTTTCTGAGCTCTCTGCCTGGCCCATTTGAATGTTGTGGTTGGTTATATTGGTTTTCTGGAGAGGCGTCTGGTTCTGAGTGCGTTCCCAGAATGATGCTTCTGTCCTTAGAGTCCTCAGAGCTGGAGTTGGGGCTCATCTTCAAATTCACCTCGTCCCACTTATCCTTGCAACCATTGCCAAGATGATGCAGAACCTTGTACTGAGTGAGGGAGCGGGTGAGGTCATATCTGGATTGTATTCAATGAACATTTCCATTTGAACTTCAGGACAGAAAGCTGGAGACCACCTGAACAATTCACCTGGAGGACCAGTGGGCTAAGTAAAAAGTCAGAGGAGTTCATTTAAAAATAAAGATGGTGGGGCTGGAGCAATAGCACAGTGGGTATGGCATTTGCTTTGCACGCAGCCGACCCGGGTTCGATTCCCAGCATCCCATATGTCCCCAGAGCACCAAAACAAACAAACAGACACTGTCCTCCCGATTTTTGCTTGAGCGGGCCCAGTAACGTCTTCATTTTGAGACTTGTTGTTATTGTGTTTGGCATACTGTGTTTGGCATATTGAATATGTCACAGGTAGCTTGCGGGCAAGATACTCAGTAGCTTGCTGGGCTCTCCAAGAAGGACGGAGGAATCGAACCCGGCTCAGCCGGGCTGGCTGCACACAAGGCAAACCCTACCACTGTGCTACCACTCCAGCCTGAGCACCGACTGCCAGGAGTAATTCCTGAGTGCAGAGCCAGAAATAACCCCTGTGCATTGCCAGTTGTGACCCAAAAAAGTAAAAACAAAATCAATAAAAATAAAGATGGTTAAGAAGCCTGGAGACTAGGCATTAGCATACTCAAGTCCCCAGATTGCTGATGGGACTGAATGTGAGTCCAAAAGGCAGCAGGGAACCTTGCCCTGAACTGCCCCAGAACGTGTAGGACCTGGGACTGGCTGTGTCTTCTTCTGTGATGGAGACTCGGCTGTGTTTGCAAAGCTACGACCGCCTGCATTGTTCTGGCAAAGGTGAGTCAATAGGACTCAGAGCAGAAGACGTGAGTTTCCGACAACTTACAAAAAGAGAATGGAGGCACCAATGAAGACGACCATTGAGATGGTGGGTGAGCGGCTGTGTTAACTTGACACAGATGGTTCTGTGTGTTTGAAACAGTGGTTTTGGTGTGGGATTCTACAACCTCCTGAAAGAAACTCAGAAAAGCGTGAAGAGGAACACCCCACCCCAACCATGACTTAAGAGAATGGTGATTACTGGAGCACTGTCTCCTAACAAAGAAATGGGGGGGGGGTGGCATGGGTTTCAAATCCAAAAATGGCATATATCCTCAACATATTATGCTGTAGCCAGCTGCTTTTTGTTTTGGTTTAGTTTTAACAGCTCTCCGGAAGTATAAATCACGTACCATAAAATTCCCCCATTTTCAGCATATGAGTCAATGATTTTTAGAGAGATCATATATTTGTACAGAGCCGTGCGGCCATCATCACCATCCAATTTGAGGCTGTTTCCATCACACGACAGCTTTTCTCAGTATATTGTGACCATTTCTCCACATCAGCTCGGGCCAGAACGGCTTCACAGCCTTCCCTAGTCAAAATGCATCATCTTGAGCTCGATGCAGCAATCTAGCCATCTTCTTTTCCTCCCATTTAATTTTTTTACATTTAACATCATACACGTACATGAAGTCTTGCTAGTGGATTTGGGGGAGAAGGTGGGGAGGCAGCACGCTGAAGGGGATGATTTATATTGCCAAATTGCCCTCCAGGAAGGTGGGATGAATCCATCCCCCCACCACGCAGCGGACGACAGCCCTTATTTCTTCATCCCCTGGATAGCACTGGCTTGTCAGTCTTTTTATTCTTTGTCAATCTGATGGGAGAAAAATGATATATCTGTTTTTCTTTAATGTGCAAAAAAATCACCCAGAGGATCAGTATCTTTCATACTTTTATTGGCTTTTTGTGTTTCTTCTTGGGGGAATTGCCTATTTTTCTTTTGAATCGTTAGTCTTTTTTTTTTTTAACCCCTTTTACTTCCAAGAGTGCTTTCTCCCTCAAGGTTATTAATGCTTTTTCATATGTGCTGTGGTCTTTTCTAAAAGTATTGTTTCTCTTTCAGCTTTATGCTTTTATATATATGTATATATGTGTGTGTGTGTATATATATATATCCCAGAGATTTATTTTTTAAAAAAAGAAAATATGTTTTTTAATGTCTGTGAGTAAAATGTACAACTCTTCCCACACTGGGAAAAAATTTTTTTGAAGCATTAATTATTTCTGTGTCTCCATTTAACAACCATGTATTACAATTTTAAGTGCCCAGGACTGGCCATGGATTTGGGTGGGATGAAGTGTTACAATAATGCAGATGGGACTGGAGAGATAGTCCAGTGGGTAAGGTGCTGACCCTTGTTTGATCCCTAGCACCCCATTTGGTACCCAATCCTCACCAGAGGCAACCTCTGAGTTCAGAGCCCTGGGCACCACCAGGTATGGCCCAAAAATTTGTTTTTTAATTAAAAAAAATAATGCAGTTGCCACTCATGGATTTTTCATTCTGATACTCTGCTCCTTGGCTCCTGTCAGCTTTCCTAAGTCTCTGGCTTGCTCAGGGCCTTCCTTTCTAAACCACGTTTTTGGGGATTCAAAATAACTTGCAAGTCTCAATATATGCAGATTATAAAATGTATGAATTCATTAGTAAAAGTGGAGAACATCCATTCAACAAATATTTGTCGAGCACCGCTGCCACCCGGTTCCGCTGATGGGTTTGGAGCCAGAATGCCAACGTGTTCCCCGCTATCAGGGAGCCCAGCTTGTTCTCAATTAAGCAATTCCGCTCTTTGAAGCATCAATGTCATTTCGTTTCGTGAAATGATAGATTGTCTTGCTAACTTAATATTTTTTGCTTATTAGTCTTTATTAAACCAAAAACAAATAAATAAGACCAGCTTTTCATTTGTACAAACTGTGCAGTAAAATGGACTTCAGCTTCTCAGCAAGTTCTTGCTAAATAGATGGAAGGGAAATATTTCCCAAAGGATGACTTAAAGGGGAAGAATTATGAAATATTTTGGTCATTTTTTTCTGTTAATGATGGAAACACTATTTTCTTGTGTGTGTGTGCATGTGTGTGTGTGTGTGTGTGTGTGTGTGTGTAGTCGTGTATACCATATAGTCAAATATGCTGTCTTTGGTAGCAAAAGCAAAACTCAAATAAACTTCAAGGTGAAAAATCTCCCTACGGTCAGTGAAGCTGCCGGTAACAGCTCTGCTGGTATATACAGTCAGAGACACCCCTCTGTGCCCAGGGATATACACCTCCCCAAGCAGTCCCCTCCACACACACCTCTCATGCACCCCTCCTGCACACACACATATACATACACATATACAAATATCCCATGGATTCCCCCCACACACATTACACACACACACACACACACACACACACACACACACACACACACCTCATGCACTGCTCCTGGACACACACATATACCCCATGCACCACCTTTCCCCACACATGCACATATATGCACATACCCCATGGACCTCCCTCCCTCACATACGCATGGACAATATAACATATACATGTACACATGCACCACACACACACACACACACACACATACACACACACAGACACACACAGACTTCCTGACTGTTCTGGTGAGCCTCAGGTCCTGCTCCTTGGTCACATCTTATAATGTTTGAAAGGAAAAGATTCTTCTTGGAAAACAATTGAGATGCCCTAGTAAAGTGTGAACATCTGGTATAAACTCACCTCCTCCAAATCACTAAGCCAAGGAAGGAAAGTCAGGTTCAAGATAGGATCTGGGGAAGGTGTCAGGAGACCCTCTGGTGTAAGAAAGTTCCAGAATCGTGAAATGGAGAGTGGAACAGAAGAGGGTGTACAGACTCTGTGCAGAGAAGATACAATAAAAGGAACAAATAGGAAACTGTCTGCATCCCTAAAGACATGTGACAATTAATAAAAGGTCCTGTTCTCTCTCTCCAGCAGGCCATTGCACGGAACCGAATCGTTTTATTCTTATTCAATTCGGGAGTGGGAGGTCATATTTTGCTGGACAGAAATTTACTTTGCCTGACTACATCTCTTTGGGACAGCCAGGGCCACCAGGATGATTCTATTTCATACTCAAGGTTATTGCTTTTGTCGAGGAATGGATTCAGCCAGCTAGACCATTGTACGAGCTGAATTCCTCTGCCCCTCGGGGGGTCAGGCATTTGGTTAGCAGCTGTGGCTACTGCTCACTACTAAGGTCCGAACAAATCACCCCACTGACGAACTGAGCTCAGGGTGGTCTAATTAAACCAGCCGCCACTTGGATACAGCTTCACAGGACTTGGAATGCAGGGGAATTTCGGGGTCATCTAGTCCAACCACCCACACATTTCCAGGGAGGCCTGCAGACGCGGAATCACTTCTGCCCAGCTTGAAAAGGGCAGGCACGCCATACGCATTCCCACAAGCCAGCCCCGAGACTTTGCTCTCTGTACACTAAATTTTATTTGCTTGCCCCATAAGGGCCAGAGGGCAGGAGGCCGAGAGGGTCCCGGACTCCTTTCAGTAGAGGTGTGTGTGGGTGTAGTTCATGATGGTCATGAGAGCTGCCCATGTCTCCTCGGCGGTGGGCACGATCTGAGCGGCTGGCAGGAGGAACCCATAGCGCCCGGTGTCCCGGAGCTCAAAGGTGAAGGAGTACTTGATGCCCTGTTCATAGGTCCAGTCCACAGTATTCCCGCTGGCTTGGTCTGTGGCAAGAGCAGTCAATGGGAGAGGAAGGGTCAGTCCCTTTGGAAACATTTCTATGGGTGAGGCCAATGGTCCAAAGGCCGGCGCCTCAGGCCATGGCTCCTGGGACCAGATTCTCCCAAGTGCCTGCTGTTGACTAAGCAGCTCCTGCCTGCCAAAGGGTCTCAGCCCAGGAGACTCAGGCTGGCCAGTTGGGCCCCTCACACTGGGCATGCAAGAAATTCCTCTGATTGCAACAGCTCCCGTCGCTCCCCCCATGGGATTTCACTTTAATCTAACAGATGCCTGAGTCAAGCCTCCAAATATACCAAGAGTTACTCGCTTTGGTAACCAAGATTTAGCGCCCCCCCCCCCCGCCCCCGCCCCATCGGTCCCCAGCTCTGGTCTGCAGGGGAAAGTGCAAAGGGCCCAGAGAAAGCCTTCTTGAATGGAAACCATTGAGATTTGCATTTAAAGATGGGGGGTAGGGGTGGGAGGGAGAAGCTATTTTCTAATGGCTTCGGGAGGCAGGGAGGAAGGAGGACTCCCATCAGGGTGTGTTCGTTCATTTTTCCAGAGCTGGGGTGGAACTCAGAGACTCACACAAGCAAGGCCAGTGCTGAGCCACGTCCCAGGCCCTCAGATCAGCACTAAACCTGCCAACTGGAACTTGGGGCTGAGACCATTTGCAAGAAAATCCCCACTGTGAGGCCAGCCCTGGGTGAGGGTGTGACCCTCACTCCCCCATGTCTGAGTGCACAGGAAGTCTGAGGACGGTAACCATTCTTGCATCTGTCTGGCCTCAGATGCTTTTGTTCTGCTTCCCTGGTCTGTTCCAGGGGGTCACCCAGGGCTTGCTACCCCTTGTCTTGTCTCCCCCAATTCCCTCCCTTCTCTGAGAGTCTATTGGGTCTCCTTACCTATCCTTCCCTCCCACCCTCCCACCCCATCGCCCCAACCCCTACCCCCCAAAAAACCAAAACAGGTAGAATCAGAATCTTTGTTCTAGAAGTTTCCTCTGCCTTGAAGGCTCTTCCGCACACAGACTGTCTCAGCTCCTTCCCTCATTTTCTGCACCCCTGGCCATGGTTTACTCCCTCCATGAGACCTGCCCTTTCGCCATCCACCTCACCCACTCTCTGTTTAGATTATCTTTCTCCCCCTTGCTTTTAGCTCAGAAACATGTGGCATTCTGGTGTTTCTGGGCAGGGTCCCTGCTGACAAGCAGTTTCTGCAGAGCGAGCTCACGGAGCAAGGCCTGGTGGCTTGCAGGTGCTTAATAAACTTTTGTGGCGACTATTTTCCCTTTGGAGGTGGCGGCGTCCTACGTAGCCGCACATCACGGGGCCGGGCATGGACCAGCAAACCGGAGGAGGGTGGGGGTAAATCCAATCCCCCCACTGAAGAGCATCAGAGGGTGGCTCTCAGCTGAAATTCCTGGGGATGGATGGGCAAAGGCAGCGGAACTCCCCAGCCCCACTCTGCATGAAGTTGAAAGTCACCCCAAGTCAAACCAGCCGCAGTCGAAGGCTGGGGGAGCAATAGCACGGTGGGTAGGGCGTTTGCCTTGCATGTGGCCAACATGGCCGACCCGAGTTCGATTCCTCCGCCCCTCTTGGAGAGCCCGGCAAGTTACCAAGAGTATCTCGTATGCACAGCAAAGCCTGGCAAGCTCCCTGTGATGTATTCAATATGCCAAACACAGTAACAACAAGTCTCACGATGGAGATATTACTGGGCCCACTCGAGCAAATTGATGAGCAATAGTGGAGGACAGTGACAGTGACAGTGACCCCCCCTCCAATTGCCAAGAAAGGCAGGGTGACAGAGCTGCCAGCACCATAGCCAGACATGGCGGAGCTCCTACCTCTCACCAATGCCCTCAGCCTCAAACCTTGTTTGGCTACTTCCTGCGGGAGGGACCCCACCACCACCACCACCACCTTGAGCAGGAAACACCAGTGGAGCTGCCCCCTGACCTGGGGCCATAGCACAAACACCCCCTCCAGGTCCTGCAACCACTTACAAATGGTGGTGTAGATGCTGCCATACTTGTACTTGGTCCCGTGCACTGCAGTTAGGGCATCTACTGCAGCCTTGGCCAACTGGTCCTGGAGAGAACAGAGCAAGACCACCCATCATAACCAGTAGAACCCTGCCGGGGCAGGGTCCTGAGGGCAGGGCTGGACAAGAGATTTGGGCAAGGAAGTCTACAGAAGCCAGCCCCTGGCTGAGAGACCCAGGTCTGCTGGGTCCGAGAGGGTCCCCCTCCACACACACCAGGACACCCGCTCTCTCCTCTCCCCACCTCTGCCCTCCCCATCCAACGTGCAGCTCTGTCCTGGGGGCCCGTGGCACAAACTCAGTCCAGCCTTGTCCCTGCCACATGCCCGAGCAGACTCCTCCAGCAGTCTAGTCTGCCCTGTCATTTTTGGGGATCCCCAGGAGAGCAGAGGTACTAGGTAGGGCCGATGACTGGCCCTCCAGACCCTTAGTTTGGGAGTTGGGACCTACCAGCTCCTGGTGGTCAGGGGCGGGTTCCTTGGTGTAGCCGTAGGGGTAGAGGAGGAGCTGGGAGTAGCTGTGGATGGAGATGAAGGCCTTGATGGCCTTGTGCTTCTGCACAAAGTCCACGATGGACTTGACCTCCGACTCGGAGTTGGGGGCCTTGCCATGGTATGTTTCTGTGCAGGGGTTGCCGCTGGCTCCGGGCTCTGTGGGGGAAGAGGGGGTGGTGTTGCTTGCACCCAGCCTGGCACAGTTCAGGGTGAGCTGGGGTGGCTCATGCTCTGGCTCCGGGAGGGGGTGGGCAGAGCTGATAGGCATGCGCAGGGGGGTAGGAAAGTTCAGGCAGCAAAGTGGCCGTGGACGGAAGAGACTGAGATCAGGCTAGAAGTCCCCAAGGTGGGATTCACAATGTCCCACTTGGGAGCTTTGTCCAGGTGGAAGCAAAGGTCTGAGCCCCTCAGAGGAGGCCACCAACACCCCCGCCCTCTCCTCACCGCAGGGCACAAAAAAAGCGAGTGGCAGGGGTTGGGGGTTGAGACCAAAGATGGGGATGAAGCCATTCTGGGGGTCCCCCTCCCAAGTCCCAGGATCTTACTTCCAAAGGCAGCATCCCAGTTCCTGTTGGGGTCAGCCCCGACACAGGCGGTGCCCTGAGAATGGGAGCGAGTCTTACGCCACAGACGATTCTGGGAAAAGAAAAGCAGTAGGGAGATGTCATCCCGCTGAGTTCCAGCCCTGGGCCTGTCTCCACTTAGGGAACAAGGAGGTCCCCGCAAGCCAGAGGGTGTCACACTAAGATGCTGGTCTGGACCACGGGCATAGACGGAGCCTGGATCGGGAGGTCAGGGAGAAAGACGAACCAGTCGTTCTAGAGAATGGGGCACTTACACGTGTGGGGTATAAAAAGGGCATGAATCTCCCCCACCTCCACCTCATGCGTGTGTCTGTGCTGGTTTGCAGGGTGCTCTGGTTGTATAAAACCACAGACAGGAAGCAAATCTGGTGTTGGTTCCCTCCCTGCAGGAACCGCCCCCCCCCCAATTGGGGCCACTGGGGCAATATCTGAAGATGGGGCAAGATGCAGGATAGAGGGAGCCAATGACTACTGGGATCGAGAGAGCTCAGGCTCCTGCTGCACCCCCGGGGCCACAGCATCCCGTGTGAGGAACGTCGAGGCAGGACACACTCGGAGCTCAGAACTGTCTGTCCCTTCCCACTTCCAGTGAGAGTCCAGGGTGAGGCGCTCTGTGGGCCCAGGAAGAGGAGAAGGAGGAGGAGGAGGAGGAGGAGGAGGAGGAGGAGGAGGAGGAGGAGGAGGAGGAGGAGGAGGAGGAGAAGGAGAGGGAAGAGGAGGAAGAGGGGGAGGAGGAGGGGGAGGAGGAAGAGGAGGAGGAAGAGGAGGAGGAGGCAGCGGCCATACTTTGCTGTGGGTGAAGGCATAACCATCAGGGTTGGTGACAATCTCCAGGAAGATGTCCATGGTGTTAAGAATGGAGGTGAGAGTTTTATCGTTGTTGTAGTCTTCGGTGATCTGGGGAGGCAGGAGAGCAGGAGGATGGGTGTCACGGCATGGGACCCCCAAGGGCACAGGCACCGAGGACTCCGTTGCTCTGCCCCAGGCTCACCTTCTTGGCGAACCAGATCCCGCTGGCCTGGGTGACCCACTCACGGGAGTGGATGCCTGTGTCGATCCAGATGGCGGGGCGTGTCTCATCCTTGGTGCTGGTGCTGAACTGGATGGGGAGAGAAAGCAGTGGATGGTCTCCTGGGCCCCCTACGTTCATGGTGAAGGTAACAAGCCCCCACCCCCGACATACACACACACACACACTGGCTGTCTCTGGCTCAGGTGGGGTATACAGGGGCTGGGGGTTGGACGGGGACCACACAAAGCTTGGTCTCTTGCCCTCATAGGACATAGTCAGACTTCTTGGCGTCAGCCTGCTCCATCACTAGTTCTGGGGTGTCTCTGGGAAACTTCCTACAGTGATGGGAAACCCTTGGGTGACCCCTAACATTCATGATGGGCGTCTGTTTGTGCCGCCACAGGAATCCAGATCTTCTCCAGCACGGCCGTGGCTGCTCCCAGGGCTGGGGCCCTCGTTACCTTCAGCACGAAGATGGGGCGCTGTTCATAGGTTTTGCCAATTTCGATCTTGCTGACCAGTTTGGGATTTTCGGCCACCAGCATGTCCATGAAGCTGTAGATCTGAGAAAGGAGGGGCAGGTGGAAGGTGAGTTGAGTGGCTTTGGGGACCCTCACACCTCCAACCTCCCTTTACAGCTCGGCCTGCTACAAACCCAGCCCCACAGTTCCAGCTGCCCGCCTGTGGGGTGCAGAGACCGGGGGGAGGGGGTAGAAGGACGCACCTCATCCAGGGTGTGGTAGGTATTGTAGTTGAAGGTGGTGGTGTCGGCGGCCCGAGACTGGAAGGCGAACATCTGCTCCTGCTCCTCGTCCAGCAGCGCCTGCACGTCCTCGATCATGATGCTGTAGCTGAGCCCGCTGCTCTCCAGGAACATCTTGACGGCCTGGACGCTGGCAAAGGGCACTCGGACATCGATGGAGGAACCAGGTCGGGCAGGGCCCCGCCAGAAGTCCAGCTGCGGAAGGTAAGAGAGCCCTGTCACCACAGGCTGTCCGCAGAGCAGGCTGGGAGCACGGGAGGACATGGGGGATGGGGGGGTCAAGATTGGCGGGGGGCTGGGAGGGGGCGTCTGAGGAACGGAGGAGGGGGATGGAGATTCCTTCTGGGGCACTGATGTCTAGTGTGGTCAGAGGAATGACCAGGAAGCCGAGTGGAGGCACGTTAGGCTGTGCAAGGGGACTGAGGCTCCCTCATTTTATTGCCTGTGAGCACCTCCCTCCGAAGGTGCGCAGAGGCAATAAAATTCTGGGCCAGGGGGTTGTGATCATCATTTCTTTTTTTTTTCTTTATTTTTTGGGTCACACTCAGCAATGCTTGGGGGTTACTTCTGCTTCTGCACTCAGGAATTACTCCTGGTGGTGCTCAGGGGACCATATGGAATGCCAGGGATTGAACTCGGATTGGCCGCGTGCAAGGCAAATGCCCTCCCCACTATATTATCACTCCGGCCCCTGTGATCCTTCTTTATGTTTGCTTTTGGGATTGCATCTGGCAGTGCTCAGAGCTTACTCCTGGCTCTGCACTCAGGGTTCGGGGGACCGTCCGGGGCACTGGGGATCAAACCAGGGTCAGCTGTCCAGCTGTCTGCAAGGTGAGCACCTTTCCCCTGTCTCTTCAGCCCACCCACTGGTCAGCTAACAGTGGTTGGAGGACTGAGGTGAGAAAGTCTGGGCCCCGTAGCCCTGGGTGCTTAAGGTCTTGGGGAGCACATCCTCCCTCCTCCTCCTGACCTGCAGGTGCTCCAGCTCCTCCAACTCCTTCACCTTCTCGACCTGGGCTTCATCGGCCGCTGAGATTCGGAGCACCTGGTGCCTGGGCAGAGCGGGAGCGGGGAGTGAGAGGGTGTGGGGCGGTAGCGACCACCCTGACCACCATACAAGCACACACATGTCCACACACACACACACATACACACACACACACACACGTGTTCACACACATGCATACATGCATGCACACACACATGCTTATGCCCACATACGCACTCAATGCTCTCTCTCTCACACATACACACACACGCACACACATGCGCATACCTACACATATGTCTCAGGCAAGAAGAAACCTGACGACTCTTAGCAATGGGAGGCCTGGGTTACTTGGACCCTTCTGGACATGACTGTGTGCACGGGACTGCTGCCCCCATTCCTGTATAGACGGTTTCCCCATCCCACCCGGCCTGCTCGTGTCTCCGCTGCTCAGAGTCGAGATTTCGCCAGGGCCCTGGAGACTGTCCCTGGGGCCAGCCTGGCGCAGCCCTTGTCCCACTCAGCTGGCGGCCTCCCCTGGGCCTGTCTCCTCCAGACCCTGGCTGGAGGCCGAGCTCTCCCCAGATCTCCTCGGAACACCCTTACCCCACAAAGTCATCTTGGCCGAAAACGGCCCCCAGCAGCACACTGAAAATCAGCAGCGCCCTCATGCTGCCGTTGGTCGTGAAGGTCAGTCAGTGAGTCCGTCAGGGCCTCCCGCAGCCTTTTAAAGGTTCCGAGTGCCCTGGAGGGTGAGGAGGTGCCCAGGCTGGACTGGGGGCAGGTCCCCCCAGCACCTGGGCCCGGTCCCACGGGGCGGGGTTCTGACTCTGCTGCCTGCTCACCCTCCCTGATAAAGGCGCAGGGAACTGGGCATCTGGAGAGATAAGCCAGGCCTCGAGGGGCAGATGGGGCCTGAGGGCCCTAAAGCCCAGAGTCCCGGGCACCTGGAGAGACTGGGACCAACAGGGGCCTTCTGCGTCCCCTGCCTCAACACAGAGCCAAGGGGGACCCCTCTCCCTGACTCTGTTCAGAGCTGCTCTCACCTGGGCAGAGTCTGCCCTAGCCCCACTGTCGGCCCCCGTGACCTTGGTAGGGTGCTGGCAGGATCCCCACACGCGCACAGCCACAGGGCCCTGATGTTGGGGGTTGCCTAAGAAGGTGCTGGAAAGGAGCAGAAACGTAGCCAGAAAGCACAGTGGTGAGATCCCAGGGCTCAACCCAGAGCCCACCACCACCACCACTACCAGCAGCATCCAGAGAAGCACCTAGAACTGGCGAAAAGATATCCCACTGCAGGGACAGCTCATGAGAATCCACCCTGCTCCACAGGGCCCAGTGGGCTCCCCAGAACCAGCTGGTACCCAGTGCCACATCTGGGCTTTGGGCCAGCACCCTCACCACCACCAGGGTGGCCCTTCCTGCTCTAATCTGCCCAATCCTGTACACACACCTGGCCAGCCCCCATAACTCTCTGCAGAGAAGAGCCCTAAAGAGAGGCTACCCCAAACCCCTCTACTGCGGCCGGTGGGCCTCCATCAGCACGTCCCTCACCCAGCCAGCAGCCAGGCCTGTCCCCTGGGGAAACACGCCCCCCCCCCCCCCCAGAGCTCTTCTCTCTCACACCTTGGCCCCCTGGTTGTTTGTCTCTTGCTTCATTGGCTTAGTCAACTGTCCCTTCTTCAGGGTAGACTCTGTGCTCCATACAGCGGTGATGCCCGAAGCAGATCGGAACCTGGTTTCAGGAGCTCAGGGGTGGGTGAGGAAGACAGATGCTGTCAAAGAACTATGTTCTAGGGGGCTGGAGTGATAGCACAGCAGGTAGGGTGTTTGCCTTGCACGCGGCTGACCCAAGTTTGATTCCCAGCATCCCATATGGTCCCCCAAGCACCACCAGGAGTAATTCCTTAGTGCAGAGCCAGGACTAAAGGATGGGGGCGGGGGTGGGGGCACAGGAGAAGGCGGGAGGTCCTCCCTGTGCTTTAGGGGAGAGAGTGGGGAGGAGGAGATGGGGTGGGTGGCCTCGGGGAGTTCTGAGGACCATCTTCTGGGCTGATGCAGACACTTGGTGCCAACACTGCAAGTCAGGGACCTCTCCTGTTATCCCCACTCCAGGGATAAGTTGAGCCTCTAGCTGGGGACAGCTGTGTGAGTGTGACCTCAGCACCACAGGGCACCGGAAACATCAGCCTATGGCATCCTCATGGGCATGTCCCTGATCTCAAGGGCTCAGTCGGAAAGCAGAGGTGAAAGGAAAGAGGTCAGATGATGTTTCATGGGCTCATTGTGCTACAGGCTATTCCTGGAACAGTAGGCACAAGGCACGTCTGCGGGGGCAACCCTGATTCCTGGCTCCATCCTGGTACCGCGCAGCCCCCCTGAGTCCCACCAGGAGTGACTCCTGGGCACTGAGCCAGGAGTTAAGTTCTGAGCATCACCAGGTGTGGTCCCCAAACTGAAAAGGAAAATAGAAAAAGACAAAAGGAGAATGCAGGGGTCTCGGCGATATTGGGCAGTGACGGGGTTCGGGGTGGGGTTTGAACATGAAAAGTTGCAGGGTCTGTGCCCTTGGCTCTCTGTGCACATACAGGGGGGTCTGGGAGGGACTCTGCCAGGGAGGAAACACTTGAACCTGGGCCCTCCCCAAAAGGTTTTTGCTAGGGTGTTTATCATGGTCCTCAGAGCTGAGCACAGACTGCTATATATTGCTCCATACTTGCTCCTGGGGTATCAGTTCTGCCTGTCAGAGACACTCTGACTTTTCTCTGACCAAGAGCCACTTCCAGCCCATTCCTCCCCTCCTCTCTCAAGGCCTGGTGCTCTGCCGTGTTCTCATTGGTTTCTTCCAGGGAAGAAGACATTGGAGAGCCTTTCTCGAATTTGCATTGGGAAAGCCGAATTTCTGTCTGCATTCCGAATTGTGAAGCCATCTCGTCATTTCGGATCTGTTTCCCACGTGCTCTGAGGGATGGTGGGCGAGCAGGCAGGCTCTGCTTGGACCTTCTGTGAATCCCTTCGGGAGAAGACAAGCCTGTTGGAAAACAGCAGGGCAAGGGCACTGCCTTGCCAGCCGGCCTCCTGCTCTTGGACAAAAATACTCAAGAATCATTTTTATCTAACTTTCGTGCCAGCTTGGAAAAGAGTCATTCAGAAATGAGGCTGGTGCTGGCAGGAAGTGGATGAGGGAAGTTGGATTGCTGGTAGAAGCCGAATTCCCTGGGTCCCTCCAAAGCAGCCCAGGGGAGCAGAACATTGCCTCCTGGCAAAGGCCAACTGGCTAGAACGGGAACCTGATCTGGAAGACCACGGCTGGGACCCCACCCCACCCTCCACGGACTCATTTCATACACATCGGTCCAAAGCAGAGCCAAGAGGAAGGCCGGCCGCCGAAAGCCCAAGGAACAGGCAAAAGACCAAGCCCCGCGAGCATGAGAAAGAAACCACCAGGCTGGCCTTGGCATCAAGGCCAGGGCCCAGGGGCCAGGACACAAATAAAAGAGGTGCTAGCAGCAGCCACACGGACGGTGTTCCCGGGGCCTCCCTCTGCTCTACTGGCTGAGCACGCCTGGACCGTGGCCAGGCCCTCCCTCCTGGGAAGGTCACCCAGCACGGGAACAATGTCCAGGGTGACATAAGGCCATGGAGGAATCCCTTTCTCTTCTGCACGTGATCTGTGCACAGGTGGTCACAGGATCCAGATTTGTTAGGAGATGTGGGGGAAGAGCTGTCGGGCAGCTTCTAGAAACTTCTCTCCACTCTCTATACCAGGCGCTTCTCTCTACATAGGGTCAAGTCTGCTGCTCCACTTTGGAGTGAACGATATGAAAGAATACAGGGTTGTTGTTTGTTTGTTTTAATTTCTTTTTCTTTTTTTTTCTTTGTGGGACACACCCAGCGATACTCGGGGGTTACTTCTGGCATTGCACTCAGGAATCACTCCTGGTGGTGCTCAGGGGATCATATAGGATACTGGGAATTGAACCCAGGTCAGCTGCAAGCAAGGCAAACGCCCCACCCACTGTGCTATCGCTCCAGCCCTGGTTTTGTTTTGTTTTCACTTCTTGGGTATGCTATTGTTGCTGTGAGAGAAAAATATAAAACAAAACATTTTGATGGAGAGGTTTGAAACTGGAGCAATAGTCCAGCAGTACGGCCCTTGTCTTGCACATTGCTGACCTGGATTTGATCCCCAGCACTACATGTGGTCCCCCAAGCCCCACCAGAATTGATCCCTGAGTAATGAGCCAGGAGAGAGCCCTGAGCACAACAAGTTGTGGCCGCAAAACCAAACAAAAACACTAAGTAACTAAGAGTTGAGAGACTTACCAAGCTTTAAAAGAACTGGGAATGGGGATCCTCTGCCCGTATCCCCCTGTTTCCCCCAACTCAGCAGTCACGCCCATAAGCCCCCTCTGACTGTGGCCAGATAACCTCATCATCAGCCACCAGTTCACGTGTCCTTCTCTCCCCGAAAGGAGCAAAACATGATACTCGCCATAACCACACTGCCAGGCCCTGCGCCAGGCTGTTTCATTCAGGGCACCCGAAAGGGGGCAAGGGACCCAGCCCTGGAAGCCAAAACATCCAGAACTCAACTGCCACCATGCTTATGGTCGCTCTCCACACACTCAGGCTAAACCTCACACATGAGTGAACCGATTCCTGGACCGCAAGACACTTCGTACCACAAACTACCCATACTCCAAGAGTATCGCACCACATTTGATGGAGTTTAAAGTAGGAGGCAACCAATCTTAGAGGGAAATTTATATATATATCAATCTTTAACAACATGTTAGTGATCTTTTATAGAAGGACTTAATAGTCCCTGAGTGAAATACAACAGTCTTCATTCTTTCCTCTAAGGAAACTTTTTTGTAGCATTTTCAGTGGTTTTCATAACAAACAATACAAAATTATTATTTCAGTTCTACTTTGAGGCTGGGGTTGGGGTTCAGGATGAAAGCATCCGAAAAATGGTGGTGGGAAGGTGTAATGGTGGTGGGATTGGTATTTGAATATTAAATGTAATCAAATATTGTGAACTACCTTATAAAATAAAAAATAAAAAAAATTAAAAATTTTTAATGTTTTTATTGTCTAAAGGCAGAAAATATAATTTTAGCCTAGAGAAGTCTTGGGAGGGTCAGGCCTCTTAGGGGACAGGCCTCCCATGCAGTGCTCAGGAGGTCCCAATTTCACTCATGGTGGTTCTTGGAAAACTGGGCTGACAGTTCAACTTGGAGAGTCCTAGGATGTGGTGCTGCTCAGATCTTGCTGTGCTGGAGACCACCATACCTGGTGATGTTTAGGGGACCAGGTGATGCCAGGAATTGAACTGGGTATGACTGCTCCTCCCGAACCACTATACCATCTCTCCTAGCCTTGGAAATGGAGAAAGACACTCCACCAGCTCTGGGAGGCACCACCCCACATCCTTGTAGCTAAACTCCTTTGTGCAGTACACAAACTGGACAACCGCTCATTGCTAGGATGAAGATGGCTGAAGAGCTTGTAACTATGGTGACTCAATAAAATCTGAAGAAGAAGGAGGAGGAGGAAGAGGAGGGGGAGGGGGAGAGGTAGGGGAAGGGGGAGGGGGGGAAGGGGAGGAGGAGGAGGCGGGGAAGGAGAAGGTTGAAGAATGCCCCAGTGCTCTAATGTAGAGGCTCTAATGCT